GGCTAGGGGAGAGGAGAATGGGGGGGATCTAGTTCCTTATTTAGAGCAGTTCCCATATAGTTAGTGGTAAGTCCCTTTAAATCAGGAGCAAGTACTGGTCCTGGAGAGGGCGTAGTCATACGACAGGAAGGCTAGGGTGGGGTTCAGGTCCGGTTGTATCATGTTCTCACTGTGGGACTTGGGGAAAGTTACCTAGCCTGTTGAGCCTCAGTTTTCCACCTGCAAAATCACCCTACTCACTGGGTTGCTGTAAGTCTTAATGACACAGTGTATGCATAAGTGTCTAGCATCACAATGACAGCAGGCAGTAGCAATCAAAATGGTGCTTGTTGAGTCCTAACTGCATGTCAGATGCTATGTTACAGGCTGGATGTGCAGGATCTCGGGCAGCAGAGCTCAGGGGCATCTCACAGATAAGGACCGAGGCCGAGAGAAATTGAGCACTTTCCACAAGGCCACAGTGTGGGGAAGGGGTAGAGGTAGGATCTGGACCAGGTGGTCAGGCTCCAGAGCCCTGGTTCTGAACCACTGTGCTACCTGAAGCCTCTCAATAAACACAGCTTCCTGCCCCTTACCTTTCCTTTCTTTCATCCAGAGTTGCCACTCCTTCCATCCCAGCCCAGACACCATCCCCCCTGAGTGCATCTCCATTCCTGAAAAGGACTCTCCTGGAGGTCCCTCAGGCCAGAATTGGATCTCCATGTGCCTCGGTCTGGAACCGCCTTCTATTGTCGCAGCTGCACAAAGACTGGCGAGAGTTACACTCAGGCAACCAAAACTCCAGTCTAGGCAAACATCCTAAAATCCAGCCGACTGCTGCCTGCGTGCTAAAAGCCCTAAACTAGAGCTGAGGCTAAAAATAAAACCAGCTTGGCTCTAGGAAGGGAAGGAATCGTTTTCAGTTCTTTGCCAGTATTTGTGGCTGGACAAAAATAAAAACACAACCAAATTTAGCCATTTGTGCTCTGCCTGCTGCTTCGTAAACCCCAAATGAGGAGTCTAGGGTGGCTAGGCTGGCCTGGGCTCTTCTCTCCAAAGCCTCCAGGTCTTTCCACTTCGGCCTGGTATCACAAGAAGTCCATACTCCATCTCATTTCCAGTTCATTCCAGAATTAATTCATGTTTACTTAGTGAACCACACCGGCCTGGAAGGGCTTCCTCAAAGAGCTGATGAAGGCTCCACACTGTACAAGGTGCACTTCTCATGTGGCTACTCTAAGAGCAGCCCTGAACAGGAAAATAAACAGAATGAAGTGTGCCTTTCTCCTGAGAGGGAAAGGTGAGCGCTGGGCTGCCAACAGTGGCTTTTGGCCATGGCGCCCTCCATCACTCATGTCATCTACTGCTCTGTCACCCTGGGCCCAGAAGTGGAATTCTCCTGCTGTAGTTCAAGTTGGCAATAAATCCGTAATGCGTGGATGGAGAAGAAAACTGAAAGGGACCCATATGAGGACAGACCTGAGGAGGTCAAGAAATGGGCCACAGGCCAGGTCAGTGCTGGGATGAAGCCCATGTGGGGGTCCCAACTCCCTCTGTGATCAACACCCTTTCTCAGCTCTCCTGATGGAATGGTGGGGAGCATCAATGTCAAAACCCCACTGGCTTCTAGTTGTAAGGTTACATGGCTTTTCAGCCTGAACTATGAAGCTTCAAGAAGCAGAGCCTTGTGTTTGTAGTACTGCTGATGACCTTCCTGGAGGTGCCCGGGTGTGAGATCGAGTTAGAGGTTTATGCCACGTTGTTTGTTGAATTCATTCACTTATTTATCCATTCAACCATTCAACCATTAATTTATCCATTCTTTCAATCACTATCTGTCCGTCCATCCATCCATCTGTTCTGCAGTGATCCGCGACAGACAACCAGCAGAGTTTGTGTTTGAATTTTGGAGCCTTTATTAGCTGGCCAGCGCTACAGTTGCGGCGTCTCACCCACCTAAGAGCCGAACTGCAGCCCCGACCCTCAGTTCTTCTCTCACTTTATGCTCAGTAACCACAAAGGCACTGCAGTAAAGGGGTTTCCAATAATTTGTCAGGCTGTCAGCTTTTGGTACAGGAAACAAGGGGGGACCTTTAGCAACACAAAAGGAACGATTTAAACACAATGTCTTACAATGAGTTATGGGGTTATGCTTGGCCAGAGTGTGACTGGTTTGTTCTTTCTATGGGAACTCAAGGGGCGGGGCGGCAGTGATTATTGGGCTTGTCAGGCCTTGTCCTGTATAGTAGGGATCTTGTTCTACCTTTACTGTTAGTTCCTTAGGTATATTCTTCTGACCATTCATTTATCCATCCATCTAACATCCATCCATCCATCCATCCATCCATCCATCCATCCATCCATCCATCTATCTTTGTGGTCATTTTTCAATATAAATGTACAAAGATGAATAATATCCAGCCCCTTCCTGCATCTGCATGAATAAAATGCCAGATGCCAGTGGAAACAGACATGAAAACAAGAAGTTACACCACAATCTTGTCAGGGAAGTTATTGTGGGAGGGGCAGCTAACCCAGACCTGGGTGAAGGAAGCCTTCCCAAAGATAGTAATGTGTACTTGACTTTTGAAGCACGGTTGGGACTCTTCAGGAGAAAAGGACACGGGTTGTAGACCTCATGGGCAGTATGTGCAGGCCATGGAGGGCTAGGATATGGAGGAGCATTTAGGGAGCAGGCCTGCATTACTGGAATATCAGGTGACCTGAGAAACACGAGCCATGCAGCTGCAGAGCCAGGCAGTGGTCATATCATGAGGGCCCTTGGGGGTCATGATAAAGGATTTGGATGTGGCTGTTTACTGAAAGTCACAGGGAGCCATAGAAAGGGTGTGAGCGAGGGAGTGATAATCTGGTTTGGATTTTAGAAAGCTCTCTTGAGTAGCAGTAAA